TATATAGACGTAACTAGTACAAATTGGATACTTACATAGTAAATATTCCTCAGACATCCTGCGTGCCAGCGTGTAATAAACACTCCCTCGAAAAAAAAAAAAAACCTAAACTCCCATCATTCCCTCACGAAAAAAATTATTTTGTTTCAGCAGGTGTAGATCCTTAGAAGATTCAAAACTTTTCATCGGCAAAATTCCAAGAAATTCCAAAAAAAAAAATCTGGAGAGCCTTTCTTCTTTTTCCTCCCTGCCTTCCCTTGCCCCTCTAGATGAGGATTTTATCAGAAGAAGACACAGTTTGAAAGAGATCCAAGCACAGATTCAGCCCTAAAACGAAAAATTTGAGTTCTCCCCCAACAAGATAATCAGTGATCCCCTCCCCATAAGATGAATTTAGTTAGCTGATCTTCTACCAAAAGCTTTTGCCGACTTAATCTTGCCTGGGTCTTGGCACACTCTACCAGCTAATAACCTTAAAATAGACACACAGCTATCAGCCTCATGTAAACAAGCTAGGCTTTCTACTTCATTTAAAAATTTCACCGTGTATACAATTCCATTACAGTGTTTGTATTGTGAGGGGCCACAGTCTAAATTCTACCTGGAAATGCCTCTTCCAAAACACTGACCCTGTTAATCCTTTGTGTATATAAATATCAAACTTTTACTTCATATACATACAGAGCTATTGTGCTTTTGATAAAAAAATTTTCTTTAATTCATTTAGGCTAGGGACTTAAGACTCCACGATTAATCTTGGAACATTTTCCATAATCACAAAAATAAATTCAAATGTATATATCTCTTGCCAAACTTTTTTTCTCCAATGTTAGAAACTGGACAGTAATTCTTTACATAACTATTTCATGAATAATGTTTAATTTATTATTTCGAATTTTATTAAAATGATGACCAAGATATGCTACTACTGCCTTTTCAATTTTTACAATGATCGAGGTGTGAATTAGGAAAAGCAGAGTCTTGTCTCTCTACGTCACCCAACTTCTGAATCCGTTCAGGTGACTGAATCCAAACAGGTGAGTTTACTGGGGCAGAACAAGTACAATAATTTTTACTCATCAACATATGAGAAATGAAATTGCACTTTTCCTTTCATGGGCTCCACCGCAAAGGTTTTTCCCTTCGTCTGTCTATCCCCCAAACATTTAAACAGCTTCTTGCCATAATTAATGAAGTGTGTTCAATCAAATTAAATATATTGCTCATATAGGCATTGAGTAAAAATGAACTGTTTTTTACCCAAGTACCATTTACCTTTAAATCAATCCCTTTACGACTTCAGTTCCTTTTATCTTACCTCTCTGAAGGTGTTAGATAATTTGACTTTCAATCCCAGCTGACAGTTTTCACTCACTAGTCCTTCAAATCTTGGAAGGGGTCCGAATTTCAACTAAAAACTGACTTTCACATACAATCCAATATTTATCAGTTTCTTTTTAAATACATCAAAATCTTTTGCAATTCACATCAACCAAAACTTTGTTCAATACAGAAATAGGCTACATAATTCGCGGAGTCAATATTGATATAAACAGGGTAATCATGAATATTATCAGAAAATCTGGGTCAACTTTGAGCCAAAAATAAAACTCTATATACATAACCCCTGGTCAAGAGGCTGCAGTGTAGATACATGCAACTTGTATTTTGTTAATCTTCACACTTGGAGGTGGATGTGGAGGGGGGGGGGATGGAAGGAAATATGCATTTTGAAAGGGGGAGGGCATGCAAATTTAAATACCATAAGATTTTAACAGTGTTTTACACAACATACTGGAAGGTAACAAATTGCCATTTTATCTTTTTTCTTTTCTTTTTAATAATCCTATCTGCTTAAACACATACACTGTAGATTCCTTATTTCTGGCGAGTACGTATTATCGTGAAATAACCCTTCAACGTCATTTAGTGAGAATAATACTTCGCGAATGGATGTTTGATCAGATTTTACATAGACTTCAGCACCATAAAAATAAAAGAGAGTAATTTTAATTCACTTGTGGTGCTTCTCGCGAAATTACGCGTATTTAATTCCACGTGTATATTTAAGGAATCTACAGTAATAAAAGTGGAAATTTTAAAAAATCAAATGAGATTTAAATAAAATCGGCTTGCATATTAGTAAATACAATTATTTAAATTTTATGCTATTAACAAATATGATACAGAAAAGACAAGGATTCTCTCAAAAAATCAAAGTGACTGATCGCTGTAAGTTTTAAATAATGATATTCATTTATGTCTACAAAATCGAATGCAGTCGAAGGTATTGAGGCCGTTTCTTTAAAACTGAGGCTGTGTGTTTGAAACTGTTTCTATATTTCTATAACTGCTACCTGTACCCATTATTTATCTAACGATATTGAGATGTCTTCAGAATAATAGCCCTTTCACGATAACTGCAATGCTCCTCTTTTGGAGGGCAAAATGGTATGTTTTGGCGAAATATGACGTAAAACAAGTGTTTAATACACGTCATTTAATTTTCTATGAACAAAAACTTCGCCAAAAGATATAAATTTGATCTGCAAATGAGTAGTACTGCAGTTATAATGAAGGGGCTAATAGAAAAACCTTAAATATTAAGCTTTATGGATCTATTGATAAATATTTATGCCTGATTTTACGAGACTCAACATGCAAATAATAACACTCTAACTTAATACATTATGCAGAGTTTCAACAAAAACAAAATGCTGTTTAGATAGTCCTGGATGTTAATTGTTTTTGTGACTAATAAATTCATTAAGCACTTTAGCTGCCTCCCACTCTCTATTGTGGTTTGCTGCTAATTTTTTTTTTAAAAAGAAACACCTTTACTGTGTAAAAACAACATGTATTCAAACCGGATGTTGTTAATACTTAATTTCGTCATCATTTATTCTATATAAACAAAACTAAAAAAAATTTGTGTAAATTACCGATTAATTTTAAAAAAAAGCATGAGACAAACATTTGTTCCTCAGCATGTATATTAATGACTTTTTTGCAACATGTGTCCAATCTAAATATCACCTTACATCATGATTTTTCCACATGACCGATTTCATTTTCATTTTTTCACAGTAATGATCACAAAACTGGTTTTCAAGAATTTTAATGATTTGCCTCCTAAAGAAGATAAACAACCCCTTTGTCAAAGACTCCATTTTTTCTTTAAAAAGATTAAATATTAAATCATATTTCTTCCTTTCTTCTTTACATTTTCTCCTAAAAAAAAAAATCAACACTGGCAGACAACCACTGAGTTAGACTGGTTCTTATATTAAACGGTGCATGTTGCTCCTGTATATGCATTCATTGCGTCATCACTTAGATAAAATGTTAACCAATAGATAGTAGCAGCCATAGGTTTTGTAGTCAGCATCAAATTTATAACTGAAATTAAGTTATATTTCTTGGTTTTGAAAAATGCCAGACACACCTAAAAGACCTGCAATATTTTTTGGTTGAAATTCTTCTTCTTTTTTTGGTTTAGATTCCCCCAATGCACTTTAACATTATGATCAATCCCCTACACTCTAAAACCACAACCCAAAACCATGAGCATGAATTTCACTTTTTTACTAAGAATCCTTGTTCATCATTTCTATGCACTTAAATTTATATGCTAAATATAAAGGGGAGAGAAATGTAGCTTTTCAAAGAATTTATACATGCTTCAGTACATGAACAATAGAGCCCCACCCAAACACCAGATTCCATGACCCAGGGACCACAAATGTGAGACGGCTCATTCCTTATTACAATCACTTGCTACCAGTACCAGGGTACTGTATGATTGCATAATCTCTAGGTTTTGGAAGATTGCATTCTAATGATTTTATCCCAACCTCTCTGGCCCTTGGGGGACAGGGACCATGAAATTCACATAGACAGAAACAGATTGCAAAATAGTACCCAAGTGATTTAAGTATCTTTAAAAAAAACAACAGATGTTTGCCTTCACTAGAATTTTTTTTACAAACTTGACGACATTTAGAACTGTCTTTTGACCAGTAAATGAACTAATATATCCTGTAAAATTGGACCATTTTAAGTGCTAAGGTAATTTGGAAATCTCTTCTTTTTGAATAAACTGAATCCAAACATTATTATTTTTTTTTTTACATCTTCCTAATAACTCAATAATATAATCAGTAAAAAGCTTAGGTTTTCTATGGCAAAGAGAGATAACTCTTGCTCTTTTTTTCAAAATGATCATTATGCATCAGACAAGGAGAGAAATACCAATCTATTTATGCTCAGACAATTTTCATGTCCCTATACAAAGTATTACCTCAGATATAATGTGAAATAGGAATCTGGTTAATTTTTTCAGTGACCTAATTTTTATATTGTAATGCAAGATGGTCCATGATCTTGCATTATGAATATCTCTGCTTTTAATTTCTTAATTACTTATGATTGCAAGATGGTCTATATAATCTTGCATTTTTTTGACTATGTGATTAAAAGGAAATATGAAACAAAAGTGATTGATTTTTGTTTATCTATAAATATGTCCATATGGCATAAATGTTCCACCCAAGGTTCATTTGTATTCACTTGAAATTGGCCCAGTGGTTCTTGAGTAGATGAAATTTTTAAATGTGAAAAGTTTACAATGACGACAACAGACAACAAATTTTGATCAGAAAAATTCACTTAACCTTCAGTTCAGGTGAGCTAAAAATGGTCTTTTTGAGACAATAGGAAGTTATTGTATAAATTTTCAATGCAATAGATCAATGGCTCCTTGAGGTAGTGTCTGGAAACATAAGCAATACACACAAGGTCACAGACAGACAGACAAACCCAAATCAATATCCACCCACTTTTAGTGAAAGCTAGGGACAAACAGAACTGAAGCCGTAATTCTCAAATAAAACAGCAATGTTAAGTCCACTGGCTTTGTGATACTGATAACCATGCATGCTTCATGTAAATTTTCTTGAGTCCACCTCCCTAGGATGAAAATTGTATGATCCTCCACTTACCTATAGGCTCATGGAATCCAGAGTCCACACTTTCCTTGTACAACAGCTTCCGGTTGACAATATCTTCAAAGACAGAAAATTATTAATACATTGTTACAATTTTTGCAGAGAACGCATTCCTGGGTTATAAAAATTTTTTTATATTACCTTTGGCCAAAGTTCTATGATTTACACCATTCTAGTAATATTTATGCAAATCATCAGAATCTGCGTTGAAAACAACATGCTATGTCTGAAAGCATTCTCTTATAAAGTTTGAAGTAGGTCAAAATGTTCTAATTTCTTTTCATAAAAAGATATGCGTATACAGTGGAGCCTCATTTATCCGGACGCTTTGGTTCCTAGACAATTTCATCCGGATATGTGAAGCGTCTGGATACCAAAAGCAGTTCAAGACAAAGTAACATTTAAAAATTCTGTTCCAAAGTGATCTAATTTCTCTTCAGAAAAAGATACGTGTATATACTTCTTTTTGCTTAAAAAGTAGAAAGAGCCAATTCTCCAAAGCAATTTTCTAGAGCTGATTGACAGACGATGAAATTTCAAGTGGAGAAATATTGAGAATACTGTTAGTATGCACATAACAAAATCAAACTACATGTATCATACTTTGCTGAAATTAAGATTACCTTTTCAGTAACAGACCTATAATTGAACACTGTAAACCATCACTCTACTGCATCATTGCAGTTCTTTGCTATTACCTTGGCAACAGATACAGTTAACAGTTGATATCAGAGTGTAACACCAATATCTAGAAAACCATGGATTTGTCTGAGTGATTCGTAAGTCCCAACCCCTCTTTATTTCAATATATTAACCTTGATATCTTGAGTCCTTCGATATCTCAGTTTTATCTTGGTCTCACTGAGTTTGAGATATATAAAATACATGGTTATTGTCTAGAAATATAAGCCATATTTGGGCGATGGTAAGAAAATGTGATAGAGGGCGAGGCCTGCTGAGCCCTCCATCACGTTTTCGACCCCAGCCCTAATATTGCTTATATTTCAGGACAATGACCATGTATTTTGTTTATCCTGCAAAATATAATATCTGACCTCCAAAATGAACTATTTTTTAACATGATTTAGACACATCTCGATCTGCAGTGGAACCTAAGACGCCATAGCGTATAAACATTGCAATATACGTGATATCACAATGCTTTTAGAACATCAGAATACATGCATGAGGTTTTTGGACACTGACCGAATAAATCTTTAGTTCACTGGGTTAACCTTTATTTGGCCAATGCAAGGGGTAGTTGCAGGATAAAACAAGGTTTGAGTATGTACTTTAGGAACTGACCAGTTCAACCTTTATATACTGTAAATCACTTCATATAGACAGGTCTTAATAGTATTCCTTAGGATAATATACCACAATTCGTGAAAATTTTGTCTCGCTTATAACAATGCACTTGAAAAAACAGTGATCTACAGTAGACAGGTCTCTGTTCTAACAGTAACAAACTGCACTTAAACATGTTCAAGCTGTCTGAAAATGCATCCGTAATTCTATATACAAGTACGACGTAACTATATAATGGTACAAAGAGGTGAAATTAAAAATAGAATTTATACACGATTCTGAGCCTCTACCTCGAATGCGCTCAAAATTTTCTGTTGATTTGCTGAAACTAAATACCAGGTAGGTGTGAAAATTTGGTTTGGTTGGTATTTAGGAATGGTTCATCATTTGAAAATCCCTACGGCTTATTACACATGGCTATTTCCTTATTTTATTCCCCTCTGCAAGTATCACACCTGCAGATCAAAAAACATAGCTATATATAGGTAAAAGAAAATCATAAACCTTTCTGTGAAAAATTTCGATTAACTTCTCACTTCTTCATAAAAGTGCATGACACCATGTAGTACTCAAAAACGTAAGAAAGATTTAATTCAGTTTAGTTCAGATAGGTAAATAGATATTATTTTCTCTTTTTTTTTTCAAAGGATGACAGGTAAGGAGGCTGGGGAATCAACAAATTAACAATAAGATATTACTTTCAAAATTTTTAAGATATGATATCCTAAAATCTTAACTTAAGTATTTGGCAAAGAAAAATTTCATACATTGTAGTTTTAAAATTTGATCATTTTTGTATATCTTCTTCTAAATGAAATCAGTATAGTCTGAAAATGGCCATGACCACCCAGCCCTCTTAATTTAAAAGTGACTTACATGGGTAGTTATTGGAAGACATCGCCTCTGTTCAATTCTCGCTCTTTACCATGTCAGTCTGAAGAGAAAAAAAATATATATGCATACAAACACATTAGTAAAATGTCATCAAATTAATGCACAGCTTTTATGTCTTTATTTGCAATGCACATCAAATTCATACTAATAGAAAATCAGGTGAAGATATAAAAAAAATAAAGATAATGGAAATCAATGTTGTAAATTGTGTAACTAGCACAGATCCCTGGAGATATCAGGGGTGGGATCAGGTGCCTTGGAGGAGTCAGCGTCCCCTATCAACTGGTCAAACACCACCACTACCCTAACATTTAAACTGTTCATCCTCAAATGTAGAAAACTCCAAAAAGGGAGACCAATTCTTGTTAAATGTATCATTAAAATATTAAATGTCATACTTTAACTTCAAAAAATTTTCCAAAAAAATAAATTCTCTAAAAAGAATCACTAAAATAATGCCCATAACTTCTTGCCCAGTGAAATTAAGATGTGTCCCAAATTATGCTAATTGATATATTTTCCATCGAGAAATTGGATAATAAACAAGTTTAATTTCACTTTCTTAAAATTTTGGCAGAGTTTTGATATGATTCTTTAATTCTAATCACTGTACAGGGGGCCCTTACTTCCTGACAATTGAAAAAGACCTAAGGTGGCGCTTATAGGGGCAGGGGCGGGAAAGGATACCCTTATTATCCTCATCCTGTGGCGAAATTTGACAATTTGTGTTAAATGTATTGATTCACTCAATCTACTGCATTAACAAATTATCCACTAAATTATAAAGTCTCTAAAAACAAGTCAATTGTGCTTGCCCATGAACTTGATTGGTGCCCAGTAAAAGTAAGATGTGTCTTTAGTCATGTTAGTCATGAAAGATAGCCAAGTTAAAGTTAGAAAAAAACGTATATCTTAACAATAAAATAATCATCATATCCCGAAAATATCATTTTCTTTCCACTTTAATCGTATAATATAAGATGGAAGAAAAGGCATCCATTATAAATCTAGTACACTGGAAATCTGATGCATCTAAGACAAAGCAGTCCGGTGGTTTATGCTCATTCTGGGAAAGGATACCCTTATCTACCCATCCTGTGTCCGAAATTTGACAATTTGTGACAAAAAGATCATACATGTTATAAAATTTTTTGCATGGCAAGAAATAAATTTACGCCAAAAAAAATCTGTCAGCTTTTTAAAGCAAAACAGTGTGCACTAGCATGTGTCATGACTACCTGCGGCATATGATTTGCAATGAAGATATTCATGCTTATTCGATGTTACATTGTGATGCACTTCTTTAAGAAAATGAACTGCATGATTATTGCAGAGATTAAAGAATTATAGGGGAAATTTATTGGAAATGTAAATATTCTCCAATAAATCACGAACGTCATCAAAAAATTATCAGATCAGAAAAACATATCAAACTTGTGCAGTTGAAATGTATATTTGACTTAAGAATGAAATACATACTTAGACCACATCTATTTGTTGTCTTTTGCAACTTAAAAACTGTTTATTGCAGAAAGTAGCTGATGAATGTAGGCTTCAAAAGCTAAGCGGGGCTGTTTCATGGACCTCCCTACACCATATTTAAACTCTGTGATTTTAGTGATAAAGCGGTGGAAAAGGAAACTTCTTTTATTATTGTATACTCCAATTGATTAATCTATATATTAAGCTACAAACATATTTATAATTGATAAAAGGCTAATTTTAATGCGGTGAAAGCACAAATCGTCTGCATTCTATTCACAGGTAAACAAACAATTTACACTCGGGTGGTAAATGGAACAGCGTTATTGCAGCATGGTGACCCAATTTGTTTCTCTATAGAGAAATGATCAGCCGTATTTTACTTCTACATAGTAGAATAGAAATAAAGTCCTTGTTGTCATGAATGATGCAGAATAATCTCCTCAGTCTCAAAATGTTGTTTGAAATATAAAAGCCTCGGCTTTTATCTTTCAAACAACATTTTGAGACTGAGGAGGTTATTCTGCAACATTCACAAAAACGCGGACTTTATTTCTTAAATAAACATTGAAACCTTGTTTTATTTCTTTTTTGGAAGTTATTTGATTAGTTCGCAAACTTTTTGATCACCCCTCATAATCTTGTATATCATTTCTAAATACAAAAAAAAACAAGATAAAAATGTTTTATCTTTCAAAACATTTCAAAAATCATAAAATTGTGAAACTTTGCCCTGTCTACTCTCAGTCTATGGTCTTGCTGCCTTAGTATTTCTATACCTTGAGTATCCCTTGAAATTTTGCTTCCTATTTCAATCTATACCTTGCGTATACCTTGAATTTTGCCTTGTCTATTTCTATACCTTGAGTATACCTTGAAATTTTGCCTTGCTATTTCTAACCTTGAGTATACAACTGTACCTTGAAATTTTGTCTTGTCTATTCTTCGAGTCTATGGTCTTGAGGCCTTCTATTTCTATACCTTGAGTATACCTTGAAATTTTGTCTTGTCTATTCTTCGAGTCTATGGTCTTGAGGCCTTACTATTTCTATACCTTGAGTATACCTTGAAATTTTGTCTTGTCTATTTTAAGTCTATGGTCTTCAGGCCTTACTATTTCTATACCTTGAGTAACATACAGCAAATCTAAGCATCCTGTCATTACAGGCTAAGATTAATATGATCATTACGGACAGGGAATTAAATGATATTGCCCATTAGAGACTTGCGTGGGCTACCCGGGAAGGTGTTAAACATAGTATGACCATAATTAAAGCAGTCAGACTCAGCGATAATTTACTTGTGATTCGTAAGTCATAAAATTACTAAGGTCAAGTTGTGCCTCCCATTCACATACAAATTTACAACTTTTTCCGCAAGGAAAAATTTTTTTAATTATAAATTTCAAATTCATAATTTTACATTGGATGCATTGTCTTTCAGAAGATTTTACAAATTTACAACTTTTTCCGGAAGGAAAAATTTTTTAATATAAATTTCAAATTCATAATTTTACATTGGATGCATTGTCTTTCAGAAGAAAGTCGTGAAAGTAAATATTTTGATTCTCCGGACCTGCTAATCTTAAAATACTGTAAAAGCAGAAATATTCATTGGGGATTTAATTTCATTTATTTTGTTAATAACCATTAGCGACAGAATTTAAAATCCCACTCAAAATATTTATAGGCCTATTTATCAAATGGGGTTACTTTCAAAACAATGGAATTAAATGGCCATGAAACCTTCTTAGATGACAAATCAAAGAAATTTTATCACAACGAAAATTTTTTACATCTACAGTAATCAGTATCAAGAGGAAATAACAATACCTCAGAAGTTATAAAATGATCAAATCAATTTTCCTATAAATATTCTTTATTTTAAAGGCATTTCAAGGCATACTGTAGATCACTAAATTTTCGTGACATCTTATTTTCGCGAGATAGTCATTGACACTTGATTAGCGAGATAAAATTTTCACGAATTGTGGTTATTGCTCTATATAATCTTAAGGAATACTATTTTTAAATTTTTTAGCACACTGTCTTGCGGATTAAAATAATTGCGAATAAAAAGTGATTTCTACTTATGAGTGAAAAGAAAATAGGAGCTATTCATTCAAAAGGAAATCAAAATGATCAGTTTTATTTTTATTATCTCTGGGATTTAAATAATTGCTGTCTCTTCGGTCAAATTTCTCCATTATCCATCGCTATCAATTTACAGGAATGATGCAGCATTTTCCTCACTGAAGTTCAAAGTACTTCTTCAGGTAAAATATGTACTCTTTCCTAATTACCGTTCCATTTATATGAGGTAATCTACATTATCCATATTTTTCCAATTCCAATATGCCATAAGAATCCTAAAACAAAATTGCTTCTCTCCAATTCTAGAATTATTTCAAATCTATTTTCCTCATCTCTTCCTTGCTCCTTAAAAATGGAGGGGGAAAAAAAATAGAAGTCCCCCCCCCCTCCAATCTCTTGGATGGGCTTTCTTACCTTTTTAAAATTAATCCCAAAAATCCTCGTGCCTCAAAAATTACAGGATAACAAACCAGCAAGAGAATAAATCTGGTGGTGAATCAGTACCTAAGCTTGGTGCTGCGGCCAGAGGCTTTTAATTGAAGCCGACTATTGATCAGTTTTCTCTCTTGTATCATCATTGTTAAAGATGTCTATATATAGACCCAATGCTGCACTGTACAGGTTTCTTATTCAAGGGCTAAGATTGATCATCTAATTCTAAATATAGCCGCAGCGCTCCGAGCTCTATGGAATTAACCAGGAGAAGCGGCGTAAATTGCGGATACTGTGCACAATTTAATATCAGTCACATACATCTTTGGTCGCCGGAATCGCTTTTTTTAAATTCTAGGGATTCTATGGGAAAAGATAAATAATTGCTTTGACTTCTATCCTGCTTTATTTTAGTCCTCATTATGAAATCCTCTTCAGATATCAAGGAAAAAAGAGCTAGGAAGTGGCTTTGGTTTTCGGATATATATTGATGGCGAAATGGAAAAAAAAATGGCAGTCCGTACAAGATTATGGTATTGATTTTACTTTTAATGCCATGTCAATTTATTAGGTTTACATCAAACCCCGTAAATAATCAGAAAAAAATCCAGAGAAAATAAGGTAATTAACAAGCTTAAGGATTATATTGGTACTGGGCAGTGATTTTTCTCCATGGAAACTCTGGTACAGACACTATTAATGGCTAAATTCTCACATTACAACACAGCCAGTTGGTTATTGCATACAAGAAGCTTTTTTTAAAGACTTTGATCAGCATTCCTTTAAATGTCTTGCATCTACTTCCTTATGAAGGCGACCTTTAATTACGGGGTATCGGCATGAGCAATAACGGGTTTTAATGATGTGTCGTCCAACTTTTATTGGAATAATTCACTTTTATGCTTACCTCAGTGAAAATAAAACTTCAAAGGAAACTGCACAGGTTCAAACTTTGTCATCGTTTATTTTATTTTTTTTATTTTTAATGACACTGAATTTCAAAATAAAAATTTTACATAGATATCTTTGATTT